AGTAAAGTAAACAGTAAGTAAAGGATGCCAGTAAATGGCATTTCACTATTTATAAAGACTGAACAAATGTTTGTAAGTAAAGTAAACAGTAAGTAAAGGATGCCAGTAAATGGCATTTCACTATTTATAAAGACTAAACAAATGTTTGTAAGTAAAGTAAACAGTAAGTAAAGGATGCCAGTAAATGGCATTTCACTATTTATAAAGACTGAACAAATGTTTGATAAAAAAGTTTTTACAAAACTTTCTAATGGTCTGCAACATGAACAGAAAAAGGACTCGATAACCTTTTATATTTGTTCTTGCTAAACTTAAGTCAAATGAATTTTCAAAAGTAATATAATAAGCTCTATATTAGTTGTTTGTGATCTAACTATTAGCATTTGTTTTAGGAATCTAACCCAATTTTTCGTAATACTTGACGTTTCAAGATTTACAGGGAAATTGATGACGGGGCGTAAAGTAATTGGCTGAAATTTCGATGAGTGGCATATCTGAAAATTTCCACTAGGGTATTATGATTCTTCGTGAACTGCACGAGTTTCTTCTATTTAAATATGTCTTCTATAGTTGTTAACATTGTGCATATTTAGGACTAATAAGATGGAAAAGTTTCGCTTCAGTATTGTGGTAAAACAGGTTGTGTGGTTAAAAGTTTTTCATTGTTACGAGTTAGTCAATCTGAGGCATATTTTGATGAAGTTTAATGAGTTGCCTAGTATCACACTTTTCTTGTTAGAAAACAGTGTTGTATATTAACTGTTAAAGTCCAACTCTGCTGTATATTGTTACATTTCATTTATAAATAAAATTATTGAAAATTATTATCATCATATCTCTAATACAGTAATAGTTAAATTCACTAGGTACTTATATCTCCGGAATGTATCTTTATTGGCGCAATATTTCACTATTACAGCTTCGTTAGGAGCTATCGATAATCTACAAGTTCACTAACTCGGTGAAAAAACAGAAGAGATGTGTATCTAGATGATTAACTTAAGCTCTCAGATACAGTGGAAGCTGTAATTAGATAATTAATACTTGTGTTTTGGTTAATTTATTCGTATTAGGGTGATAGGTAAAATTTGATTGCCCCTCACCTGTTACCAAGTCATCGAACTGAGCCCAAATTTCGTTCAGCAACGCATATTTTTAAGAAACCGTCATTCTTAACACTTTATTTTATATAATGTGAAAACTGATAACTTGATATGTATCAAACCACCATCACATCCTCTTTTTTTTCTTTTTAGTTTTACAAGGAAAAGTTAGTAACCTGAACCACAACAAAGCCCTCCAGCAGTCAGAATTAACAGTTCAAATAACAAGAATATATCGAGATAGCCACGAATCTAGGCTTTTTAATTCCGCCCAAGGCAATAACAAGGAGACTGTTCTTCGTAGACCACTTAAGTGCGCTACTAAAACAGGAGTTGGTGAATATGTTTTTTTCTCTAGATGGACTTTGGAGAAAATGATCGTTCAATGTGCCCCTCGGTTATCTGATTGGAGAAAAGTAAGGAGAAAAGCGTTAAAGGAAAGAAGTAACCAGTGTCAGTTGGGTTGAAAGTTGTATTTGTTGTGGTTTTTCTTCTTCTTTTGTTTTATTACACAGGATGCCAAAAGTATTTGTCTGTGATTATGGAGAAGTTAAAAACGTCGCTTCGCCGTTTTGATTGTTGATTTGGGTCTTATTTCTATTGTGAGTGTAAAATGGTGTATATAGTTTTTACTGATCTCACGCGTAAGTTTATAGAGGTTTTTAGTTGTGAAGTAGATGCTTTGCAAATTAAGGTATTACTTATTTTTTTTTAGAGAGAGAAAAAAATGTACGTAAGGTATTTTTATTAGTGTACATATCTTCAAAAATTTATGTAGCATTGGATCTTTAAAATTTTTTGTCAGTAGTCGATAGGAAAAAAAAAGTTTTATATCGACGTGGTATTTACTTTAGACAACTAGAAAAATTTGTTTGATTTACAACGTGACAGATGTTATCACTGATTAGCCACTGTATATTTTTCGATACTTTACGTCGTAATTTTCATGTTTATTATATAAATAATTAGACAGCGTTGACAGAGCCCAGGAAAGGAAGAGGAAAGTAGGTAGGGCTATTTTCACACCGAGAAAGAAATATAATATTTGAGGGTTCTATACGTAGATGAGCAAATGATTTAATGTATAGAAACTTGCCAATTTAAATACAAAAAAAAATAAAAAAATATTTAAAATTGTTTGATCGAAAGTATTAATATTATCATATTTTAAACTTAAAATAGTTTATAGCATTCTAACTTCACAAGAACAAAATATGTTGAAAATAGCTTAGTTAAGCCTAAACCGGCGGAAGATCAGAGGTATATGTACTTTTAAATTGAAAAAGTGCTAGGCTTTATATTACTTTTAAGTTATAAAATGATTGATTAACACAATGAATTATCAAGTACTTATAAAACTATAATGTGAAATTGGTGCTGTGATTGTGTAAAACAAACTGTTCAATTAAAATTAAATCAGTTTTGTTTTTTGTGAAATTATGCCACTTAATGCTTATCTCTACGAATTAAGTATTTTATTTCAAATTTCAGTGCAATGTTTCGAAATATTTTATTGTTTTTTTAACGATTTCAAAAATGTAGAGATATTTTATTTAAAAGTTAGTTATTTACGAATTATACTTTTGCAAGTATGGTTTCTCTTTTTCTTTACTTTAAGCCATTTTACGAACTTGAAGTCCATGTTTGTGTAGAATAAAAAACATGTTGAAATATGAACCTTACGTCATTGAACAAAATGTTCATCTATTAAGAAAATTGGAATGTTATTCATGGACATTTTAACATGTCTAAACAAAAATCACCTGAGTGACAACTACATGACTAGGTCTTCTGCGCTCCAACTTCTCTGTAAACATATAGGTAAGTCATAGTGATTCACCCGAATACCTAGAATACTAATTCTGTTGCATTCCATGCAAAGCGAATTCTGTATGAGGACTTAATGTCACTTATGCCGTAGTAACGATGGTTGACGCTATGAATATTTATAATATTATATTGATATAATGATCATGCGTAGATTTGAAGAAAAGTATCTTGTGTTACTTGTAGTTTCGTTTTTCTTTACTGGGCAGTTTGTTAAGGCCCACGTTGTACATATGTATGTATATATTCCATGCATATATATGTTTTTACAAAATATTTTGTCTCTACTCAACAAGAAAACACATCTTTGTTTGCAGTTTTAAGTGATAAATAACTTTGATATTTTATTAAATTACGTATATATTGATTATATATTTGTTACATTGAAATTAAATAAACCATAATATGTAGATACTAGCTTACGAAAACGATTTTTTTCCACAATGTCTTTGAAATTTCAAATGGCTACATCAACAGGAACATTGTTTGTACTGGGAATATACGTTAATCTTCTCGTGACTTTCGTGGGGGAAAAATAATATGCCAGGCTTATATGAACACCTCCCACAACAAATTTATCTGACACACATGTCGGGCTTACAAATTTACTTACGTATAAATGTTTAAGTTTGTAAAATCCATACCATCTGCTCATATACCAAGAAATGTACATATACGTAACCTTCAAATTACCGACTTGTTGCGTAACACCGAGTAAGTTTAGTAATGTTTTTGCTTATTACAGCATCAAGTATAAAATCCTGACCAGAAAAATAAGTTGTTCATTTTCTATTAAAAAAACAACAACATAAAATAAGCGACTTTATAAGATGTGGTTTATTGTAATATTGATGGTATTTTTTGTTCCTATTTTTTATGTGATTCGTTGTTAGGGAACCTTGTAACAAAGTTACGATCAACAAACTATTCAGTGCATACATAGTTTATAAATATGTTTTTAAAAAGCTGGTGATGGGTCTATGGACCCTATTGGTAATTCCAGTGTTAAATGTTTGGGTTTGCCCTTCTACCATAAACACTAAAAACTTCCACAAGTGAAATGCACTTATTTTCATTATGGTTACTGTGTTTTAGCCACAAAAAAACTTTCTGTCGTCCACGCACTGATCCATACTAATAACCTATAATTATAAGAGTTACGTGGGACATCCCTTAGTTATTACAAATAATGTACAGACTTAGTTTGACTTATTTACCAAAGAACTAAGATGCGATCTAAAAACCTATTTCATAAAGAGATGGTGGATTGTGCGTAAAAAGATTCATTTGGTCAATAGTCATATATACATGTAGTAGACTTGCATGTAAACGTTGAAGTAGCAGAATATGATGATTTGTTTAAATTCAGAAGTGCTTTGTTTCAATCTACGCATCTGTATAGTGTTATCTGTTTTTTTAACGTTTTCTATTGATACAGAAGTTGACAATAAAAAGTTGGTTTAAGAATTACGAACACGTCACTGACTGGTTCAAGTGCACACTCGAACATTGAGAAAGTTGGAAATATTAAAGAAAAAATAGATAGTTTCATGATGAAATTACAGACAGTCGTCCCCAAGCGGTTTGAAATCTTACCAATTAACGATACCCTTATTCACAAATTAACGTACATTTTGTTCAATGATTTTTTTAAATGCTTGAAGACTCAACTTGTTTCCAGCTATAGAAAACAAATATTAAACATGATTGACTTGTTGCACTCGTGATTGTTCAAGCCATGCTATCTCTCTCGTGTTAAAGATATATATAAACGTATAAGTCTTTACTTGATCGCCCATCATATCGTCAGTTATTAAAGAGGAGCAATCTCTTTAATTGTTTTCGGTTTCTACACTTCGTGGTAATAAGATCAAATTCGCTTTATTCCGATTTGATGAAGCATTCCATTTTTCGTATATGTTAATAAGACCAATGACAATTTTTAGAAATTGGTAATATATTCTTTGAACTTGATAATCAAAATGATATATAAAGAGTGATTTCGTGACAATAAGTAGCAGTATAAATGTATGTAACTTTAGGCTTACCAATTACGGAAATAAGTTTTATTACTTGTGTAACGAATCTAATACTATACTAAGAATTGCGATAACGTTAATAACACAATTATTAACTGGGAAAAAAATAATTTATTTAAACTTTCACATGGTAAACAATATATTCACAATTTGAAAATGTCGGGCCTAGATTTCCCAAACGCTATAATCGAACTTCTAACTCAACATTATAACCTTTATACATAAAGTTAGGTAAAGAATAATATAAAAACCCTATATTTAAGTCATCACAAAATCTTCCTAATAATACAATACTTTCAAATTGTCTAATTAATCATAACTCACAGTTATATATTAATATTTAATAACACCTATTTCTAAAACTTCATGTCCTCTAACGCCTTGCTTATCAGTTTTCTTTTATTTGTTATCAAACAACAAGATTACAATTCAACATAGGATGATTATTGGCTATTAGCAAAACATCTGATATACATAGAGTGATAAACTGCTTTACATATTACCATTGCAACAGAGGAATACTTTATTACTATTTCTACGGGTCATAGTTACTGTAACAAAGATGTCAGCGCCACCCAGTGACAGTCTCACTATAAGAATAAAGTTACAATTAATTCTAACGGGTTATGAGCTGGCATCATGCATAAACAAATTCAAGAAAAAATTCAACTAAACGACAGAGAAATATTAACAAAAACATGAAGGAATAACATCTCGCTCCTAGCGACCCTCATCACTCAATAATATTATTAATGTATAAAAATCCACTTATATTTGTTCAATTAATTTCTTATTATACCAAGCTATATATTGAAAATGTCCTTTTTAACCTGTTCTATTAAGCGTTTAAATAGTAGTAATATCTAGCTCTACGATCAGTCTTCACTTTGATTAAAAAAAAAAATTATCAGTGGTACGCTTATTACTCTTAAAATAGTTTCGTTAAATATGCCAATACATCAAGTTTTGTAGAATTCGGCCTAACAAGTTAGTTAATTTAAGTCTGTTTATTTATACCTCTACCTGGTGTACCAAACAATATGTATATATTAACAATAGTTTTTACAGGTTTTTAAATGCATAGTGATAAATAAATTCTAAAATATGTTTATATTAACTCATTCGATCTCTAGTTATGAAAAGAAAGTCATTTGATAAAAGCGTTCTCTGTTAGGCATATTTGAATAAAAAACCGCTCCTCGGTTTCAAAGTATGAAAAATATTAGTTGTATTCAAATAAATAATTGTAATAATATTTCAACTTGCTACATAAAAAATGCCAAATTCAATGAGATTTCACAAGAGAAAACAAAAGATTATTTTCAGTTCAGCATGAAAGATTGAAATTATATTTAGGAATCACGACTAAGAAAACCCATGTGTGTATATATACACCTGGAAAAAAGTTAAGCACCCCCAAATATTTTTCAGGATTGCTTATTGAAAATAAGGTTTAATTTTCATGATGTTGAGCAATGTTCATAATTTCAAACATAATTAAAAGAATGTGAGCGTTCAGGTGTGACATTTAAATCAGGCGCGTTTTTTTCCCCACGTGCAACTTGCTCCCTTCTTCACGTCAAATATGCACTATTTTCTCGTGCATCAAATCCGTATTTAAGTCCCGAATTTAAGTAATTTTAAGTAAGAATGGCAAGAAGACGAATATCAGAGGCGCAGA